TGTGGATATATATTTTTCTTTGGGAAGATAATTTTTCATAATGCAATATTCAAGACTAATGTGATGTAAGAAAACATTGTTTCTAAGAGTGCTCAGTAGAGGTCAAAATCTTTTCTTATATTAAACAGTTACCTAAAATTTCTAAGTAGTTTCTACTTTATCTCTCCTACAGCCAACTTTGCTAATTCAGTCTATAAACTAAAAACTGCAGATATGCATTTTTGTTCACATTCTAAGAGTGATAGCATATAATTTTAAATATATTTTTCTAAACTTTTAATTTAGACAGTCTTAATTTCTACAATATCCTTTGTCTATAAATGTTGCCTAAAGATTGTTAAATGTGAAACGATTTATGGAAAATTTTGCATAATAATTCATGTGCAGTATACAAACACAGTATGATCTCATAAAAGAATCTAAACAAGTTTCTGTAACATAAGTATTAAGTGAAATAGGCCAGACCCAAAGGAACATAGGCTCATGGTTTCCCTCATTTGTAATAAATAGAATATGAATAGGATCACTCTAGCAAAAGATCATAATAGCGCAATGGCCATGTACATATGACCATATAAAATGATGCAAATAAAAATAATATCCAAGATATGGAAACAAGAGGTCTTTTTTTAGTGTTTTGTTTGCAGTTATTTCTATTTTCTTTAGTTTTGGTTTATTTCATTTAAACTTTTTTTATTATTATTTTGGTACCCTTTGTCTTGTATATACATTTTTCAGATTTGAGGAAGGGAAGAGGAATCACAAAATGGTGAGACAAAGGACAAAGTGTGAACCAATGCAACAGTGATACTCACAAGATACTATGTTGAAAATGATCTGTACAACTTATGGGGGAGAAAAAGGGGAAGAAAAGAGGGAGAAACAAATAACAGAGTAACAATGTTCAAAAAGAAATGCACTCATTTACCTTACTTATGTAAGTGTAACTCCTCTGTACATCACCTTTACAATAGAATAAAAATTTTTAAAAAGAGCAGTAATTACTAGAGTCAAGACAGTATTAGGAATGGGCAAAGCAAGAGTTTGATCAATGTGTAAAATGTTATTGTTTGTTGTCTTATGGCACAGTGGGTAAATAAAATAACCATTAATATGTGATATATCTTAAATAGTTAAAGGAGAGGGATTTGAATTGACTAGCTATAAAGAAAAGATTAATGTGATGTGCATGTTAATTACTCAGACAATATCCAAAAAATACATGAATCAAAATATCACACAATATTTCAACATGTTCAAATATTATGAGTAAGTCTTCACAGCTTACAAAGTATAGAAGATAATGGCCCTTCTCACAAGCATCTCCTATCACAATCATCGTGTTAGTTTACAGTTGTCCTGGTCCTCCCTGTGGAATAATAGATCTCTGGGGTGATTAGGAACTAGAGAGAGTAAAAGAAAACCTCAAAACCAGGTTAACAAAGAAAAGTGTTTTGGTTTTGTGGAGTGTGTTTCTTGTTTTACCATGTTGGAGATTAACCCCTGGACCTCACACATACTACTTGACTGATCTAGCTACCTTTGTGGTAAATTCAAGCTGCAGAAAAGGGTTTGTATATATGGTGCTTGTTTTTATATTGGGACATTACAGATTCCCAAATAACCTTCCAAATAAACTACAATTTCACATTCAAAGTAATTAAGAAATTGTCTAAATCAGTTTAATAATTTCATCAATTTGATAATTTAATCAATTTGATAATTTAATCAATTTAATAATTTCAATGACTTTCACTTTCAGTAATTTAAATGCTTTATCAAATGTGAGGTATAATTAGGTGTAGATATTCATGGCAGAAAATATTTCCTCGCATTCTGAGCAAAGGAACACAACTTGAACAAGAAAAATTCATAAAAATACGCAAAAGGACAGCAGGTAGCTGTTTGGAAACTAGCTAATTCTTGAAATGATGTAAGATAAAATAAATTGAGGGCTCACAAACAGAATTTAATACAATTATTAAAGTGAAAGTAATTTTGTCTGTTCTACATAGACTGTCTCTTTCTATTTTTAACAAAAAATAATGTTGGAAGTGTGTGAACTAACATAAGAGATGTCTTAAGAAAAAGGTTACAAACTATATATAAAGATTTATGTTAGCAATAAACTAGCAGGATAACAAAAGATTAAAACTATAATATTTCAATTCATTATAATGTTTGGTGGCTTGCATTCACTAATGATTGACAAAAGTAATTTGCTTAATTTCATACTTATTAAATTTTCACACAAATTCAAGTCTCAAATTCGTTACAAAGGCACTCTATTTTTAAGAATATTTTATTGAGTAGTATAGCTACCTGACTTTAGTCTTCAACTAATACCCACAAATCTTACAAATTTGCTGAAGGGATACCCAAGGAGGAAAAAGCAATAATAAAGTATGTTTTTCTTGAGAAAGTTGGAAAATGTAGTGGATTATCTTTGTGATAATAGATTAAATTAAATAATATGAAACAGTAGTTCATAATCTTAATAATTTTCAATTATAAAATATTAAAATAAGGATAATATCATCGATTCCAAAGTATGATATCATGTGTGCCATTTTGAATTAATTGAACGTACTATTTTTATGGTAAATATGAAAAGCAATCTATAAATGTATAATAGTTTTTATATACTAATTGGAATTAATTTTCTAAAAGTAAGTTGAAGAATCTGAATGGAGTGTGTTGGTTCAGTTTTTTTTTTAATTGTGAAAATACTATACAGAGGGGTTAAAATTACATGGGCAAGATAATGAGTACATTTCTTATCAAGCATTGTAGCCTCCTCCTTTGTTTCCCATCAAATGTTTGTATCCCTGGAACAATTCCAATTTGCATGTATATTAGGTCAAGTAAACACTCTACTCTTAAGAAATGTGGGATCCAAGCAGAAGAAATTATGCATGTCCAGATTTCATCTTATTATTAACAGAAAGAGTACCAAAACAGCATGGTTTTGTAAACATATAATGTCATCACTCAGGAAGTAGAAGTAGGAGAATCTCAAGATCCTATGTATCTTATCTCAAAATAACAAAGTTGGGATGAAAAAATAATATACCACAAATAAATCTTTTCATTGTAGCATTTAGGTATGTATAGCCCTTAATTAGCTAGTCTTTAAATTATTAACTTTGAAGGATAAGAGTAGATGTGAAAAGTAGAGAAGAGATATGGAAAAAAGGAAAATAGAAGAAGATAGAAAAATGAGAGAGGGAGGAATAAAAACCTAGAATGTTTATCTTATATTAAACCTAAGTGTTTTTTAATCTTATAAATATATTAAACTTACAAAAATGATTTTTCAAAACATATACTTAGGTCTGATTAGACAAGATAGTAACATGTTTTTTATATTTATTCATATCTATGCTTATAAAAGAAAAATCAAAGAAATGAAGTGTCATATCTGAAATTAAACATGTGATTTTGTCACATTTTATTCTACAGTACTGAATAATAGAAAAATAATATCCATTTTGGTTAAAACCCACTAAAATATACATTAATCTTACTGTTGTCAAAATTTACTGTTTATGTCTAGCAATTTAATTTCTCATTAAAGTTAATCACTATTAATCACCATCACTGTCAAAAACTTAGGTAGCATTAGGTAAACACACTGGCAGGAAAAAATCAAGTATGTTATACAGCTGGGTGCCTAATGGCAGGCTGTGCAAATTCAAAAATTCACTTTCTCATTACTGGTGTGCATATGGTTACAGATTGCTTTCCATATAAATCTATAAAACATTGTGTGGCATGGGATCATTTTCCCAGATGGAAGATTACATATAAAATTCATTTTCCATGAGGTAATGAATCTACAAAACTACCAGAAAGAACTATTGTAGCTTTGAATTCCAATATTGCTAGTTCTTACCATCATTTGTATGTTCCCGAACATATTTTACTTTGTAAAAGATTAATGTGTATTTCAAACATAATTAACTTGATATAATAACCCTTGTTTGTCTTGCATTGTATCATAAATCAAGCAAATATATGTTTCAGTATTTTTAAACACTTAATTTTCACTTGTCCACAAATTCCACCTATCATAAAACCTTTTGATTCAGAAGACCTGAATGTGTTGGAAAAAATCTGATGATATACTTTATGGGAAGGTGTTACTGGCATGGCATGAGATGAATCATAGATTATATCATTGAAATGTACCAAAGTAAATGATATTTTTGAAATTAAATTAGAATTTTATTGCTTTTTCAGATCATTTTGGAAACTATTCTGTAGTAAAAGATTATTACCATTCATGCATGTGCATTAGCACATCTCCAGATGCCAATATTGAACCAGAAATTATCCACTGCCAATGAGTCAGAAGTAAAAAATGCAAAATTTCTGAAATATTTGAATTTTGAAGGAAGAAATACTCCATTTTCACAAAATAGTCAATGATTGAATCCAATCATATGTCTTTGAATGAAAAAGATTAATGTGGTCTCAGATTTTGCAATGTTCTCCAAAACTTTGTGGTTAAAAACTAATTATTTTGATAAAAAGAGTGAGTGACATACCAGGTGCTGGTGATTCAGGATTGTAATCCTTGATATTCAGGAGGCTGAGATCTGAGGATTGAGGTTCAAAGCCAGTCCAGGAAGACTCTTATCTCCAATCAACCACCAGAAAACCAGAAGTAGGCTGTGGCTGAAGGGGTAGTAGAGCGCTAGTCTTGTGCTGAATAGCTGAGGGACAGCGGCCAGGCCCAGAGTTCAAGCCCCATGATCCCCCCCGCAAAAAAAAAGAATGGGTAACTTAATTTAAACTACTAGTATGCAGTTCCTACCTAAGTATATATTCTTTGCAAACTGTTTACTTATATGACCACCTTTCAACAACAACAAAAAATGTTGAATTGAAATGCACTTAGATTTAGATATAAGGACTACTTGGTGGAAATAGTGAATTTATCCTAATTTTAATAGTTTAAGCAACATAGAAAAGCACAACATAAATAACAAGTTACTGTACTTACCTGGCAGGGGAAATGCCGTGATCAAGTAGTTGGCTTTCCCAGGGCGAGGTATGTTCATTGCACTTGGGGCTCACTGAGCTCTGCGATTTCCTCACATGGAGGAAACTCGGCTGCATAATTTTTGAGAGTGGGGGACTGCATGCGTGCTCTAAAAAAAAAAAACAAGTTACATGGCTGTATTTGACACTAAGTTCTTCCTTTTGTAGATTCTTTTTTATCAAGAAATTTAAAAATGATCTATAATGCTTCATATATACAAACAAATTCTATTGATTTTCATATTAGACAAATATAATAGTAAAATGGAAGTATAACTTCACTCAAAATAATGGTGGATTTTTTTTCTATATGGTTTCAAAGTGACATGAAAATGAATGGTTCTGAAAATCATCACGTTAAGCAAAGTAAATGAATTTCCATAGTCACAGGTTCTCTTGCATATGTGGATTTTACACCCAAAAGATCACCATATACATGACAAACATAAACATGTACATGTATGTGTATAAATTTGTACATACATATGCATATATGTAAATGCATACATATGTTATATATATCACATTCACACACATGCACATATGAGATTGTTTGAGTGGATTAGGTGGAGAAAAGAGAGGAAAAGGGAGATTTAACAATAGTAAAATACATTACATGGGTTATTAAAGCCAGAACACTGTGAAGCTGTGGAATGATAGGTGTTTATGGACAGAAGGAAGGTGTGAGTAAGTGCACGGGTCACTCTAATTACTGTACCCAAAAAGAAAATAATGACAAGAAAATAAAGCAGGTCCTGTTGGAAGCTTTGAATACTAATGACACAGTGTAGAACAGATGGAAAAGGTGAAGGAGTGTGATTTTGATAAAACAAAATGGTTTATGTACATGTGCAAAGATGAAACAACAAAGCTGGTTGAAACTGGTTTAAGAAACAGGATAGGCAGGCCCTGGGTGGCTCACGCCTGTAATCCTAGCTACTCAAGAGCCTGAGAACTGAGGATCATGGTCCAAAGCCAGCCTGGGCAGGAAACTCCATGAGACTCTTATCTCCAAGTAAACACCAGAAAATAGGAAGTGGAGCAGTGGCTCAATGGTAGAGCTCTTGATTTGAGCTGTGGAGCTCAGGGACAACGCCTAGGCCAGAATTCAAAGCCGCTGTCCCACAAAAAAAAATATAATTCATCACATCAACAAGAGCAAGGATTAGAACCACATGATTATCTCAATAGATGCAGAAAAAGCATTGGACAAGATCCAACATCCCTTCATGATGAAAGCTCTGGATAAACTAGGAATCCATGGAACATTCTTCAATATAATAAAGGCTACATATGATAAACCTACAGCCAGCTTTCTAATTAATGGTGAAAATTAAAGCAATTTCCTCTAAATTCAGGAATGAGACAAGGATGTCCACTCTCTCCACTCCTCTTCAATCTAAGATTAGAATGCCTAGCTATATATGCTTGGCATATATGCCTGGCAATAACACAAGATGCAGACATAAAGGGGATCCAAATAGGGAAAGATGAAGTAAAACTCTCCCTCTTTGCAGATTACATGATCTTGTATTTAAAGAACCCCATGGACTCCACTCCCAAGTTACTTGAGCTTATCAGAAATTTTGGTAAAGTAGCAGGATATAAAATCAACCCTCAGAAATTAATGGCTTTCCTATTGCCAATAACGAGAAGCACACTGAAATTAGGAAAGCAACTACTTTTGTAATACCCCCCCCCAAATAAAATATTTAGGAGCTAATTTAACAAAAGAGGTGAAGGACTTGTATGACAAAAACTTTAAAAACCTCAAAAAGGAAATTAAAGGAGAGCTAAGCAAGTGGAAAAACTTCCCACGCTCCTGGATTGGGAGGATTAGCATCGTGAAAATGGCAATACTGTCAAAGGCTGTGTACAAACCTCATTCATCAATGAAATAGAAGAAGCAATCCAATAATTCATATGGAACAATACAAGACCCCAAATAGCAAAAACAATACTTAATAGAAAGAACAGCGCTGGAGGAATACCAATTCCAAATTTCTAAATCTACTAAAAAGCCATAATAATCAAAACACCTTGGTAGTGGCACAAGAACAGACTGAGTACCAATGGAATAAGACAGAAGACCCAGAAACGAGCCCATAGACCTATAGCCACCTAATCTTTGACAAGAGAGCCAAAAAAATAGAATGGAAGAAAGATAGCCTTTTCAGTAAGTGGTGCTGGTAAAATTGGTTAAACACTTGTAGAAAACTAAAGCTAGATCTGTATATATCACCCTGCACCAGAATCAACTCCAAATGGATCAAAGACCTTGAAATGAAAGCAAATTTCCTGAAAACTTTACAGGAAGGAATAGGAGAAATGCTATGGCTCCTTGGCACAGGCTGAAATTTTCTTAATAGAGACCCAGAAGCGCAACAAATCAAAGAAAGGCTGGACAAATGGGATTGCATGAAACTCCAGAGTTTCTGCAAGGCAAAGGACATAGCTAACAAGATCAATAGAAAGCCCACAGATTGGGAGAATATCTTCACTAGCCATACAATGGACAAGGGTCTCATATCTAAAATATGCTTAGAACTCAAAAACAAAATACCCCAACAACAAATCCTCAAGGAAACAACTACCCAATAAATAAATGGGTTATAGACTTAAAGAGAGACTTCTCTGAAGAGGAAAGAAGGATGGCCAATAGACACATGAAGAAATACTCAACCTCCTCTAGCCATAAAAGAAATGCAAATCAAGACAACGTTGAGATTCCATCTCACTCCAATTAGAATGACTATAATCAAGAAATCTAGTAACAACAAATGCTGGAGGGGATGTGGACAGAAGGGAACCCTACTGCGTTGTTGGTGGGAGTATAAACTTGTTCAACCACTCTGGAAAGCAGTATAGAGGTTCCTCAAAAGACTCCACATACAGCTCCCTTATGACCCAGCCATCCCAGTTTGGGGTATTTACCCAAATGATCACAAAGACCACACTAAAGCTACCAGCACAATTATGTTTATTGCAGCATTATTTACCATAGCTGAGATATGGAACCAACCCTGATGCCCCTCAGTAGATGAATGGATCTGCCTCTGTCAGAAAGAATGACATTGCCTTATTTGTTAGGAAGTGGAAAGACTTGGAAAAAATTATATTAAGTGAAGTAAGCCAGGCCCAAAGGAACATAGGTCCCAAGGTTTCCCTTGTTTGCAATGACTAGTACATGTTAGGACAAGCAGAGAAGGTCAAAGGCTATGTGCATATAATCACATGAGATAATCTTAAGCAAAATGTACCCCAAAACAGGGACATAAGTGGTGTTTTTTTAAATTTCTTGCTAGTGTTTTCAACGTATTTATTATGCACTACGTGATTCTTTTGTTTCTTTTGTATCTTCCCCCCATGGTATAACCCCTGTTTTACTGGATTTGATGCCAGAGTTCTGCACCTTGTATATATATTGTAATTTGGGGAGAGGAAGGGATATTGTGGACTGCTTAAGTGGGGATTCAGGCTGATCCATTGTGATGATGAGATGTACAGGACACTATGTTTAAAATGAACTTTACAATGTGGGGAGGAGGTGAGGAGTTGGGGAGGTGGGGAAGGAAGTGATGGTAGGGGGAAAAGAAAGGAGGAGGTAACAATGCTCTCTAAGAAATGTACTCATTACCCTACTCATGTAACCATAACTCCTCTGTACAACATTTTAACCATATATATATATATATATATATATATACACTATATATAGTATATATAGAGTTAAAATGTATATATACATTTATACATAATATAAATATAATATATATATCATACAAAAAAAGAAAATAAACTGGATGTGTGAGATGAAGGAGTATAATGAATCAAATCTGAGTAGATTACATTGTATACATGTATAGTCATGGGTAAATCAAACCCTTTTGTACAACAAAATTGTTGCTAATAAAAATGTAAAACAATAAAATGAAAACAAAGAAGAATAAACATATTTATGTACCAAAATGTTTAGTATTTCTTTATATTTATGAAACCATTGAAAATTATCATTGAAATAAATAATCTGTAATTGTCATTTTTAGCCACCATGCAAACCTACTGTGTGAGTCTCCCCATAACTTTTCTCCTAACTAAATAATCTTTGTGGATTTTTCCTCATTGCTCTTCTACTATTCTTTATGTCTCTGGTAACTACTGTTTTTATATCATTGTTTAAGACAACATATTTTTCTGCATGTGAGTGACATTATGTGGGAATGATCTGGCCTTGCTTATTTTACTTATCATTTTGAAAAACTACCTAGAGATCTGTCCAAAGAATTAGAAAAAGAACTCTCATATTATCTGGTCACTAGGGTGTATTTATCCAATGGAAACAAAAGCTGACACTATACATTCCTGTAGAAAAGAAAAAAAACTATTTTGTCTATCAAGTGACTGACTGAAAAAACTTTGTATATGAAACACGTATAAAACATAACACAATATGTACATCATCTTGATACATTAAAACACACACTGGAGCCACCTGGTAGCCCACGACTATAAGCCTAGCTATTCAGGAGTCTGAGATCTGGGAAATAATGTGTGTGAAATCAGTCCAGTCAGACAATCTTCAAGACTCTAGCTTCTCAGTTACTAGCAAAATTGAGCTGTATAGAATAAGCAGTAGACTAAGTCATGAGAGTAATAAGCTCAGCGAGATCTCAAGACCCTTAGTTCAAGACCTAATACTAGCACAAATAAAAACACACTGGTGTTGGGAGAATAATTCAGTGTTAATTCACTAATACCTTTGCTGTAGGTTTGATCTCTAGCCCTGTAAAAGAGTATCTCATGACTAGAATATGGCTAGTTATGGAACTGTTCAGGATCATGAAGGAAATGGACAAATAAAGATGTTGAGAGGTGAATAGCTTCTAAATACAATGCATCTATGAGTGAAAAAATCACATTGTACTTTACTTTTACATACAATAGTTACATAACAATTATAAATAAAATGTGAAAATGGCACAGAATTAGTTTTAGGTATCATCTAGCACCTGGGAACTTTCTAAACATTATTAAAGAAGAGGAAAAATGAGTTAGAGGACCAAATAAGCAAAATCAATAAGGGAGGGGGTTCAATAAATAAGTGAAATATGGAC